CACGCGCGGAGCCTGCAAACTTGCTGATGTGGACACGCTGAGGAGCTACAAAAGTGTACTATTGTTATATATACTAGGGTTGGCCCGGGCGACGCCCGTTTTTTTTTGTTAAATTAAATTTTAATTATATATTTAGTATATTTATTTTATTTATAATTATTATAAAAATATAAGTAGCTAAAGAAATAGAAACTCATTTTAAATTATTCATTGTTTTGGTTATACGTATTTCAAATTTTCTACTATTGGCTTTTTGTTATTGAAAATTATATACATGGTAATGAGCAGAATTAAAAAAAAAAAATGTTAATTTTAATTTATGGTGTTTAATTGGTTGAATTGTATAAATGTTTTATTTCACTTTAAAATTGTTTATAAATTTTCTTTCTAATTAATATCCAAGTAGTTTAATGGATCTTCCCCTTAAATCTACAACCCTATATTTTTTATGTTTTATATTTCCTTAAATCAGTGATTTAAACTTTTTCATATTTTTAGATAAAAAAGCTTCAACTAATCAGACTCATTATCTAAATATTAGTTTATCTGACTTATATAAGTTTTGATGTAAAATATTTTAAAACGTATAACCAATTAAATTGATTCAACAAATAATAGTGACAAAATGATTTGGAGATGTAACTGTAGATCGTTGTAAAGTTATGTCTAATTTGGTGGAGTGTGAAAGTCGTCTTGACATTGAGAGCAACGCGTGGTATCATTTCTTGGCTGTTTACTAATTTTGTTTGGGTCTTCGAACTAATTTTTTTGGCTTGTAGGTATATGGTTTCAGATTTTGTGTTATTTCTGAACATAATTGTAAAAATTATTAGTTAGGATTGTTTAATTTCCTATTGATTTTAATTTTTTATTTTATAGGATATTATAAATAAATTGTGAACTCATTGTTAGATATTTTAGTTTTTTTTTTGTAAAACGATTACTATAATTAAAAGGGGTAGTGGCCCAAAACCTGGCCCAATACCCAAAGTTCATACAATTGCAGAAGAAGAGAAAGCCCGTTTAGCCAACAAATCGGCTTCACGGTTTTCAGATCGAGGAACGAAAGCAAAGGAGATAGACACAAATGCATAGGTAATCTGGTTGATATCGGTGAGAATACCAAAGAGTTCCTTAATTTGTCGTTTGTTTTGGATTGCTCTGATGAGCGTTTGACAGTCAGAATTGACTTTAATGGAAGAGAAGCCGTGAGCCACTGCCGCTAGAAGTCCTGCTCGGATCGCAAGTGCCTCCGCGACGAGAGGGGAAGAAACTCGTTCCTCCAGCTTTGAGTCGGAGACCGTGTTGGCGATCGATTGACCGGAGAAGACCCAAGCTATCCCTGCTGTTTTTGAAGATTGGTCCCAGGACGCATCTGTGTTACAAGAGATGGACAGGTAATTGTTGATCCCAGTGTGTTCTGTAGCAACTTGGTGTGTTAACTCTTTCTTTGATTGGACCGTTTCTTGGGCCATGACCCATTCCCTCGCCATCTCTAATCCTTTTTGTGCTACCTCAGATGAGCTCAGAGATTTTGCTTCAAAGATCAGGCGGTTTCTAGCCATCCATAATACCCAGCAAATCCACGGAAGGATCGTAGACGATATGCCTGTTGGGGGTAGACATGTAGCTCTTCTAAACTTGATCATCGCTTTTTGGAAGTCATCCTCAACAGCTATGAGAACTGTTTTATGTAATGGCACCTGCTTCCAGACTTCTTTAGCGAATGGGCAGTGGAAGAAAATATGTGTTGGAGACTCTGTACTCCCACATCTTGAACTGCTTGTATTGGTCATGAGACCTCTACTCTGTAAGTTCTCTCCCACTGGGATTTCCTTTTTAATGATAGACCAAATGAATACCTTTAGTTTAGGCGAACACGAGGCTGACCAGACATCCTTTATCCAGTTAAAGTCACAACTTGGCCTTTCTTGCACGGTGGTAAAGGCCTTTGCAGATGCTACATTATAGCCAGATTTTGTGGAGTAGACACCGGAGTCGAGAGGTTGCCAAATATGAATATCTTCGGCTCCACTCTTACTAGGACGCAGCTCTTGGATTTGATCACTAAACTCAGGTAAGAGCTCTTCAATTTTCTTGGCATTCCATTTTAGATCGTCTGTAAGAAGGTCCGACACTCTGAGGTCTAGAGCTTTCTCAGGAATGGGGCCAAACGGTTTGATGTTGGAGTCGAGAGAGATCCAAGAGTCATGCCATAATTTAGTAGACTGACCGTTTCCGATTGCTTTCCCCAGGTTGTCCTTAAGGAGATCACGTCCGTGGAGAATACTTTTCCATCCATGGGAGCAAGCCGCAGGTACATTTGCATCCAAAAAACTCTTCTTATGGCAGTATTTCCCTTTTAGAACTCTAGCTAAAAGGCAGTTAGGTACCGTGATGATCCGCCATGCTAGTTTTGCCAACAAGGCTTGATTAAAAATCTGTATGTCTCTCAAGCCCAGACCTCCTATAGCTTTTGGTGTTGCAAGTTTGTCCCAGGATACCCAACAAATACTTTTTTTCTCATCTGAAGAGTCCCCCAGAAACGAGTGAGTGCTGACTGGATTCTTTTGCAGAGGCTTAGGGGGAGTTCAAAGCAAGACATTGTATATGTCGGGATGGAAGTGAGGACTGATTTAAACATCGTCAACTTGCATGCTTTGGATAAATATCGAGTAGACCAATTAGCTGCACACTGCCGGATCCTGTCAACGATGGAGGTAAATAAATCTCTTTTTTTCCTTCCAAAATGTTCTGGAAGCCCCAAATATTTCCCCACTCCCCCTTCTTTTTGAATTCCTAAAATAGATTTTGCTGAGTTCTTCACCTCTTGCGGGGTTTTTTTTTAGAAAGTTATTGATGATTTGGCGATGTTCACTTGTTGCCCTGACAGAAGTTCATATTCCTGTAGGATATTCATCAGAGAGTGACAGTTTTCCGGGGAGGATCTGCAGAAGAGCATTGTGTCATCTGCAAATAACAAGTGGTTGACTCTAGGACTACCCCTTGCCACTCTGATTCCATGAAGTGAGCCATCTCTTTCTGCGTTCTTACATAGGCCAGAGAGGACTTCCCCACAGAGGATAAAGATGTAAGGAGAAAGGGGATCTCCTTGTCTAATCCCGCGGTAAGGCTTAACTGATCCGTACGCTGTGTCATTTATCAGAAAAGAGTAGGAGACTGGCGTTATACATTGCATTACCCAATTAGTTCATTTTTCATGAAAGCCGAGTCTCTGAAACACCTTGGAGACGAAATCCCATTCAACTCTGTCATACGCTTTTGACATGTCCATTTTTACAGCCATAGAACATCTCTTTTGAGCTTGGGATGTCTTGAGATAGTGCAAAACTTCGTGAGTGATTAACACATTATCTTGTATTGCTCTTCCAGGGATAAAATCTGATTGATTCTCAGAGATGATGTCTTCTAACACTGGTTTCAGTCTGATCGAGAGAAGCTTGGAGATGATTTTATAGAAGACATTGCACAGGGCTATAGGTCGGTAATCTGCCACTTTCTTTGCTTCCAGCGATTTCGGGATCAATCTGATGTGAGTCTGGTTCATTGTTGCAGATAGCTGACCCGTAGAAAAGAAACTCTGGATTTCGTAGACTAAAGAATTGCCAATCTCATCCCAATGGGATTGGAAGAAACAGGTTGAGAAGCCGTCCGGGCCCGGGGCTTTGTCTGGATGTATGGCAAAAAGAGTCTCTCTTATTTCCATATGTGTTGGGTCCCGAATAAGCAGCTCATTTTGCTCAGATAAGCTCTGATATCTGTTCTTCCTCATATTTTGGTTCACCATTATCATCTTCCAAGACTGTTAATCGATTTCTTGCTTTCCTTCCTTTTGCCATAGCGTGGAAATAGCCAGTATTGGCGTCCCCAAGGGTGAGCCACAGTTGTCTCGAGCTTGCTTCCAATATTCCTCATCCGCCTTGTAAGCAACTAATAAATTTTTGTTGATTCCATGAATGCGCACATCATCAGCTAAATGGCTTGTCATTGCTTCCTCTAGTTCAGCTCTTAGTCCCTCGATTGTTTTCTTACTATTTTCCTGGAACTCCTTGCTCCAGGTACAAATGGCTTTACGGCATAGAGAGAGCCGAGCTTTGACTTTCAAATAAGAGTAGCGACGCCAAATGTTGCTTATCAGGTCTCTAACTTCCGCATTTTCTCTTAATCTTCTGTCATATCGGAAGATACGTTGACTCCTTTTCCTCTTTGTATCTAGGAAGGAGATGATGGGCCGGTGATCAGATCCCTCGTATCTAAGATACTGGCTTCTATAGGATGGAAACATCTCTGCCCATTCGCTGTTGCATAGGGAGCGGTCCAGTCGGCAATGAACAAGGTGTGTTCCTCTCTTCCCCCTCCAGGAGAGGAAGTTTCTGCAGTGTTTGAGATCAAAGAGACCATGATTTGAGAGGAAGATTCTGAAAGCACAGAATGATCCTTCCGGTCTGTCTGGTCCTCCACATTTTTCATTGTTGTCCACTATCTCATTGAAGTCCCCTGTTAAGAACCAAGCCTCATTTGGATCACTGTGTAGTGTAGCTAACTCATTCCAGACAGCTAATCTTTTTGAGTTGTCAGGCTCACCATACACAGAGGTAGCATGGAAGGATACACCTTTGCTCTTGATTGAAGTATCAATATAGTTATGAGACTTTGACAGCACTGTGACTTCAATCTCTTTTTTCCAGGTTAGGAATAAGCCCCCTCCCCCTGGGCTGTGCGGTGATACAAAGCAGTAGTCTTCCTCAGATATTCCTTTTAGTTCCTTTAAGACCACCTCGTCAGGGTTTTTCGTCTCCGTTAAGAAGATAATATCAGGAGCATTCAGACGGCGAATCTCCTTTAAATGCTGGATTGTTGTGGGATTCCCCAAACCACAACAATTCCAGCTTGCCACGACTAAGGAGCCGGGTGTTGAGGTACGTGAAAATCCTTCTTCTTTTTTATTGCTGGTATCAGATTTATGGTTAGTTGATTGTTCAGGTTTGAGGGGCCTGCTACATCCTGGTTACCTTTGATCTGACCATTCTGATTTATGTTTTGAGAAGGGGATCCACGTACTGGTGATCTCTGAATCATTGCGACATTTCTCTTGCGGGAGGAGGTACCGTGCAGAGTGATAGGGCTAACCACAACAGACCTAAGTCTCGCAGGTTTGGTTCGTCTTCTACCCATCCGACGTAGTGGTTGTTCTGCTTCCTGGTGAGGGGAGGATTCGTTATTATTCAAGGGGAGGATAGAGTTTGGCGAGTTATCTCTCCTCTCGGTAATAGCTTGAAACTCCTCATGCAGTAAGTTGTTTCCCATAGCAATCTGAGGCTCTTGTGTTTGATAATGCAGGGTCTGGAGTTTTGCTGCTGCGTCTGCGAGAAGGCGGTCAGCTGCTTCCTCTGTTTGGCCCTGAGCATCCCCTAGAAGGACTCTTTGTCTTCTTGCTGCTGCTTCAGTAGGATCAGGAACGTTCATATATCTGAGGGCCAAACCATGTAGATCCTCCATAATAGCTTCTCGTGAGGGCAACTGGTTCAGGATCTCTTGACTAAGGTTCTGAGGCGTTTCCAGAGGAGTAATCTGTTGTGTGGTTTCCGCTGGAGCTGGTGAGTTTACTTCCTGCTCTCCTAAGTTCCTTGGGTACTTTTCTTTCCATTGCTTCATTTCCTGGCAAGGAAAGGAGAGACGGTTGTGACTTCTTCTCGGGATGAACCTGTCTCTAGATCTCACATGTTGTGGGGATATCGTGCCATGATCTCCGCCATAGGAGTTGTAATCCCTTCTTTTCCGAGGTATTGAGTTGTCAGACCTTTGAGATGGCCTTGGTGGTGGTACCCGCGTCTGTCTTGTACTTATCCTGTCACCAAAAGGGTTCCCATGTCTGTCTAACCGCTGTTGGAACTGTTGCTTATGCAGTAGAGAGCTCTCAGCTTGACGGGGAAGGGAGCTGTTGGGGTTAAAGGTAGTGTTTGCACCAAGTCCCCCATCCTTTAACATGTGACGGGCGTCCTCCTGATGCTGAACATTTACTTCATGTTGCAGGGGAGAAGGGCTTTTTCTTGTTGGACAATGAGAGCTCGTATGCGAGAGGAGAAGACAGGCTGAGCAATGATTTTCTAGACGTTTATAATCAAGGGTAATTTTCGCTTCTTCTCCTGAGTCGAATTCAACAATAGTCTCCTTGATGAGTGGTTTTAGTCCATCAACGAGGACTCTAACTCTGGCTAGAGTTTTTGTCAGAACATGTGTTTCCAGAGAACCCAGCTCACTGCCAATCTTGCAAACCATAGAGTCTTGCCAGTAGTGCAGAGGAAGCCATTTTATCCTAATCCAAAAGGGGATCTGTGAGGGGAAAGACTCTGAAATGACGGGTTCCCATCGTTGTAGGATGACCATCCAACAGTCGAAGAGGTATGGTCTGTTATCTAGCACCTTTTGGAGGTCTTCTTCTCTCTCAAATCTGAATTGGAAACAGTTGTTTCCCAGGTCAGACCCCACTGCTCTCCCTTGTATGTTCCATTTTCTTGGCAGAGAAGGAATGAGGGCCCAGATTCGTTGTACTTGAGGATTTGTGATTCTTTCAATCAGAGTTAAGTGGTTTTCCTTGATAAGGGCTGTGGTGTCTAGACTTGGTGCCTTTATCCTTTTAATGGTTTGTTGGTTAGCTTCCATTACAGTTCCTTTTCCTTTTTCTTCTTCCGTGTACCGTCGACTCATCTTTTCCTGCAGAGGAGGTGAAGAGGATAGAGGGGACAGAGGCGAAACCCCACTGAAGGAGTATACCGTCGACTCCTAGTAGGTCAGGGTTTGTAACACGCTTGTAGAGGTGGTTGCTAGAACGAGAAGAGATGTATGAACTCTGATGGAACACTTTCACCGGTTCTTTGTGAGGAGATGTAGCTTGCCGCAATGGTGAGCAGATTTAGCTTGCAGATCTGAGGTCGAGACAGCTTGGAAGGAAGGGGAGATTTTGAAAACCAAAGCTTGGAGGATGCCACTTTCAGTAAGGAAGTAGGGTTTTCACTACGATGGAGGGGGAAAACCGTTGGTTACTTACTAAAGGGGGAAACGTTGTGTGCTGTCTCTATCACGCGGACAGGGGGTTTGGTGCCCATGTCAACTCTTCTTGAAAAATGTGCCTGGGAGAGTTTTTTCTCGACCAGCGCCCCACATTACACTCTCCTGGTATCTTTTCCTCTTCTTTCATAAAACACACTCATTGTTTGGCTTCCTATAGATATTTTAGTTATGAACGTATTTATAAGTGTGTTCAATAATAAAATAAAGGAAGATACAATTAGTTCTAAGTATGAAGCACCTTTGGTTGCCTTGCGGTTAAAAGACCATGTAGGATTTGTATAATCCTGTCGAGGATTCTAATAATTTCCAAAGCTCTGATTGGTTGTATGTTAGATTTTCATTTGGAAATAATGTGTGATAATGATGTTTGCTTTTTAATAATATTTTGCGGGAGGAGTTGATTCCAGGAAATGAACTAAAAGAAGAGTAAAATGTGATCAGTTGTTCTTTTGTTTGCCCTGGTTTATTGTATACTATACTGGTCACTTGATTTGTGAGAGCAGTTTAGTTTGGAGAAGAAGTGTTGAGGTGAGTGAGGTGACATATTTGATAAGCTACATGCACTTTTAATGGTGTTGAAGTTGTTGGCCTTTTAAAACTTCCTGTGAATAATTGGTGAGCTTACTGTTTTCGTATTACAGGTTTGCAAAGATTAGTAAGTTGATTACTATTAGATCTTCTTAAAAGGCCATCTTCACCTTCATCAAAGAAAAAGTGATATTTTCCAAAGAAGTAGAACGTAAGTTCAGATAGTATTGTAGTGTTTTTGGTATTTTGTCTAAACGTCCAGGATGACAAAAGGCTTCATAGTGATAAGAGACCTTACCAAGCTCACTTGCGTCAGAAGGAATGCGTATACTAACAATGTGCCATCTGCTTTGTTTGAAGACTCAAGAGCCAGGAGAACCCGTAAGAATTGATACCACACTACTTACCTCTGAGAAAGCATTTCACATTACTCAAGTAGTGTTTTTGTTGCAGAAAAAACTCTTAAGATTCCAAAATTATATAAGATACTTACGAACTTTGTTTTTCACCCAACGCCACAACCATACGATCTTCTTCATGAGTTGTGGTTGAGAAGTTCAAAAATGAATAAAAAGCAAGCATTATTTTTATATGAGCTTCTTTCAGAGTTTCATCCTTCTATAATTATCTCGAACTTTTTAAGACATGAACATGGCTTGGATCCACACTATAGATCTCTCGAGCGTTTCCTGTACTTGTCACTGACTTGTCTCGCGCAGGAATATCCTCCTGCTTCACCTGGAGGATGCTCCTCCGCTTGAGCTTGGCTCACTTGGAGTCCTCTAGAAATATTATCTTTTGGTATTTATTATTGCCTTCTCCAACACTCTAACAGGCCATATCATCTATGTACTGCCTCCTTGCGTGTAACCCCACTGAAAGCAGTCTACAAAAGAGATGGAAAAAGAAACATGATTTATCAGACACATGGGTTGCAAGATTCAGACAAAACTTATGACTCATGTGTGACCCACATTAAACCATATCACGACATACATGGAACCCGCGAGAATAGATATAAAAATTCTAATGGGATGAGAACAGATATTATGACAATACTGTTCTGTAAGGTCGTAATGTAAGGAGCAATAACTCTTCAGGTTTATTAACAACACTATGATAAGTATTATGAGAAACAAAATAATCAGGATTTGTTCTTAAGCAGCACCAACCACACTGCTCAATCAGAAAAGATAATAAGGCATATGAGGAGACCTAGAGCCGCTCACAAAAGAAGAAGTAAATCATTCGAAGAATTGACGCTTGTTTCTTATTAAGAATCTCCATCAGATTTCATAAAATAATCAGAGTATGATGAAAGTAAAAACCTAAAAACGAATCGCCGAACTACCAAGACTTAGGTACTAACGCTTCCAATCAAACACTTACAGAATAATTGTATATCAAATCGATAAGAAAGCTAACCTTTTTATTGAATGTAGTTACACCGCCTTGAAGAGGATAACTCTCATTCAATGTCAGAGTGTGCTTGATGTCGGTATATGGAGTTAAGTCCATTGTTGCTGCATAACTTCAGTGATCGATGAACCCTAATTTCGCAGAGGAAAGGGTAACGCGAGATGACTTCTCTCGGTCGATGGGCCTGGGGGCATAAGTCACATTGGGCCAGAAAACACATTAAACCCATAACATGTGAAACAAAGTGTAACGCAGCATTTTCACGTCTTGTACACGTGTCAAGCCAAGATGAAATGAATTGATGACGTGGCGGAACTGTAGGGATGAAAAGCCTATTTTATATAATTAGATATATGAGATTTATGGTCGATCTGAATGGTTCGGGGTAAATATTTATTATTGAAAAAATATGTTTTTATTTTATTTGATGATTATAACTGAATTGAAATTATATTGGAGGTTAGAATATGATAACCTTTCTTATAAAAGTATCTAAGATGGTCTCATAAAGTATCATGAATCTCCCTAAGATTTTAGGTATCCCGAAAAGTCCAAATTAAAAAAAAAAAATTACATGCAAGCACTGAATTTCGAACCCGCGCACTCGCAGTACCAACTTCTCGTCACCAACTTACACCATTGGGCCATTTCATCACTCATCGATAACATTCAGTCTTACAAAAACGTTTTTGTTTTCCCTAATAACACGCGCGGAGCCCGCAAACTTGCTGATGTGGACACGCTAAGGAGCTTCAAAAGTGTACTATTATTATATAGATTTCCTAAATCAAATTTACCTAAATTTTTTTGGTCAACATATTTCCTAAAATAATTTAGCTAAATTATAGGAAAATTCAAGTTTAAAACGTTATTAATTATATAATATAATATTTCTCAAGTATCATGTAAACTCCGCACATATAACTTGTAAAGATTAAAATATATATATATTTAAATTTTTTAAAATATATGTTTAACCATTAATTATTTTAAATAATAAAATCTATCTATCCTAAGGTTTAACTATTTTGTATTATTTGTAGAATAATATGGATTTTTTATAATCAAATATTCATTTTAATATATCTAATTGTTTCCTAATATATATATATATATATATATATATATATATATATATATATTTCAAATATTTCTAAAATATATATATTTATTCATTTCAGTTACTAATAATTATTTTCAACAGTAAATTTATCTATATAAATTTTTAAATATCGTAAAATTACTTGTAGAATAATATTTGATGTTTATAATAGAATATTTCTTTTCTGATGTATCTAAATCTCGTCATATGACCTATATATAATCAAAATATTTAAATATTATGTAGTTGGGAAAAGTTTTCGTGTTAAAAGAGATGTTACTCAAACATATCAATGGTTTAATGTTTGTAGAAAGTTTAATATGGCGCACGGATTAATATTTGTTTCCAACATATAAACTATTTCACTATGATGTTTATAAAATTTTTAAAATATGATAATTATTTAAAATATTAACTAATAAATATTTAAATAATATTTTTATATATCAAAGTGAAAATAAATACCCGCACGGCCAAGCGGGTCAAGCTCTAGTTGAAAGTAAAATACATAACTCTATTCTAACCATATGCATAAGAGACAAAGAATGCATAGGCATAGAGAAGGAGAAGATACGATTGTTTAGGAATGTGCAACCCCATCGTTACAGAATGGGAGCTGGCTACAAGGTTCGTGAAAATGGAGATGTGACAGAGAACTATTGGGAACGCATAGGAGAGAGACAACAGCTGGAAGAAGATAGAAGGGAGAGAAAGTCATACAGGATAGTGTTAGTTGGTGTTGTGTGTGATGCAATATTTAGAAGTGATTCGTGACATTAATGTTCTAAGTGATGTTTTGAAAACTAGTTTTCAAACAAGTGTGTGCCTTTCTCAACATAAGGTTTTGGCTTAACCATGTATATAAATGCAGGAGAGCGATAATGTGTAAAAGAGCTGTTAGAGTTAGATCTCAGCTGAGATCTCACCAGAGGTTTGCAGATGCGTTTCTTACATACTGCAACATAGTTGACAGTTCAAGGGTTTACTGCACCAATGCTCTTGAAAATTCTCCAAAGGCTATACCTTGTTTTGCTTACTGCTTTAATCTGAAATGTCTGAAGTATCGAAAGTGAAGAATTGTGATTTATGTACAGATGATAGGGGATGGAAATAAAAGGAAAAGACATTGCTAGTGGATCCAGAAAAGATAGACTGTTTGAAGAATGTAGGGAAGGTTAAACGAGAATGCAGATTCTATATATAAGCTATATAGTAGACCAAACCCTGCTTGTGAAGCTGGATCAATATGGAAAGACATTGTTCTTTCTCCTTCCAGGTTTAACATTCAAGGGGAGCTCATATACTCGATTCAGAAAGTAGAAAGATTCAAACAATGTCACAAGTAACACCAAGGTGAGGAAGACAAGAGAAGTGCATCCGTTTTCTTACCTTTGTTTCCTGGTATGTCACATTCATCTATGTAACACTCGTGAAAAAGATTTTAAAAAAAAAATGCTAACTTGGACAGAAAACAAAGAGACATTTCACAAGCATAATAATCAAGCTAAGAAGTAAAAAACATTGCGTGTAAGAGATGTTTTAAAGAACTAAATGCATCATATGATTCAGACAATGGCATGAACCTCACCTGTTCTTAAGATAGACCAGTTCCTTGAAAGCATAATATGTTATCTGTACTTTCTCTAATGAGCAATGAAACAAGAACAGCTAGAGAATCTACTTAACACATTGATACAATGCTTTAGATTCATTCAAGAACATATTCAGGCAGACATAGATGAAGACTACACCTAACAAAACCACATCTCTGCTATAGAATGAAGTCACCATCGCATTTAGCTATTGATTAAAAGGCTTCATTTCAGACAAACCAAAAAGAATTACAAGAACAAGGTTTCAAGAAGAAACCAGAAAGAAAAAAAAACAATGGAAAGCAAAGCCCCTTCAAGGATGATTCGATTATACAAGACTACCCTAAAGAAGCTAACCACCACCATATCCTAAAACCCGAATCTCCTTCACTTCTTCACCTTCCTTGTAGAAGCCCTTTTCGCCGGAGACTTCACAGCCTTAACCGGAGCCTTCTTCTTCGTCACAGCCGCAGCTTTCTTAGCCGGAGCAGCCTTCTTACCTGGAGACGTTCTACTCGAAGTCCTTGCCGCTTTAGCAGGTCTCTCCTTCGCCTTAGGCTTAGCCGCAACAGCTTTAGTCTTGGACACAGCAGCTACGGTCTTTGTCTTTGGTTTAGGCTTTGCAGCGACTTTAGCCTTTGGCTTTGCAGCAGGTTTCTTGGCTACTTTAGCTGCTGGTTTGGCTTTAACCGGAGCCTTAGCTGCAACTTTACCCTTAGGTTTAGCTACAGTTGCTGGTTTCTTCTTAACCGGAGCAGACGCCGCCGGTTTAGCTGCTGCTGCGGCAGATTTAGCAGAGGGGAGTTTGAAAGATCCTTTGACCTTAACCAACTTCTCAGAAGCAACGAGTCTCTTGAGGTTAACAAGAAGAAGCTTCCTGAAAGTAGGAGGAAGAGACTTCTGCTTCTCCTCGATGAACTTCTGAATCGCATATTGACTAGATCCAGTTCTCTCCTTCAACGTTGTGATTGCATCCTTAATCATCTGCATCAATTCAAACAAACAAACAAAAGTTATTAAAATAAAAATTACGAATCTTAAATCGATTAAAGATTTAGATCAAAAACGAATCCGGTACCTCTTCGTATTTAGGGTGAGATGGAGGAGAAGAGGCTTTCTTCTTAGGAGCCTTCTCTGCAGGCTTCTTCTTAGGTTTAACTTCCTTCGTCTTCTTCGCTTTACCGCCCTTCGCTGCCGGAGCCGTCACCGCCGCTTCTGCATCTCCCGAGACAACGTTGGTCGGAATGTTTTCTGCCTCTGCCGACATTTTTCTTGGGAATTGAAGTGATTGAGAGAATGTAAAATGAGTCAGAGAAGATTCTGGTGAGGAAGACGATTGCTTCGGACATGTTTTTATAGTCAGACGTGTAAGAGACAGAGTTTTCATTCTTCGCTCTGATTGGTTAAGAGAACGAGTACGCGGATCGGTGTAGCCTCTCAGGTTTGAATTTTATCCGTTAGATCTAACGTTATCGACGGTGTGGAAATAAGGATTGTGAATGTAAGGATGGGGAGGTTAATAGATGTGGATAGGTGTTTTGTTTATGTTTGGTGTGCTTTTAGCCTCGACTGATTTGATCATAACTTGAGGTATTCTTTATGGAATTCAATTTTGTTTTCATCAGTCTGTAGATAATTTTGTAAGGTTTCTTTTGAATATCTATGCGTTTTAAACGGATTATTGTAGGATGAGAAAATTGGTTTTGAAGCAAGGTTGGTCAAAACTGTGGTTTGTTTTGATAGTATTGATGTATATTTGCTTTTCTGGAGAATGCTTGAGGGAAGAGTATCAATGTTTATATTCATTGGAAACTACACTAATTGAGGAGTGTAACGAATCAAGAATTATTAAGATCAGATCATTTTTGGTGGAAAGACATGCAATAGAATCCGACCAAAGATGACCATCTTCTAGTGTATGGCTGCCCACACAACTTGTTGCATGTATGATGTGTCTATCTCCAAAAGAGTCTTAGCTCAAGTAACCAAATATGTGTGCGTTGGTTCGTTTTGCATATTTTATATTCATTACATCGTGTAATGATTCACTGGATTAAATTTTTTATAAAAACCTAAGTTTATAATTAAGACTTAGTGAGGTATGTGTAGTTTAACAATAATGATGATGTATGCAAGTATGCATCTTGCTTCTAAAATCATACAAGTACTTTTATTACCAATAGAATTATATGATATCCATTGGCAAACGTAAATCTTTTTCATGAATACGAATTTCATATCTTACATTGGTATATGCTTTTTATCTAACGAATAGTAATATTCTACATTTGTAATATTGATATCGATTTGAAACTTCCTGCGTTTTAACGAGTTTTGTATCGCGAATGATTTTGTAACGTCTCGACTGTATGTACGTTTTCATATAAATTTCCGCATAAATAAAGGTTTACAGATTTATAATCAAAATGCTATTAGTAATTTTTATTTTCAAATTGATAACTGATATACATCCAGTACAAAACCCGATTATACATTCTTACAAAGTTAATTTCTCTCATCATGTATAACTGAAGCTGAAAATACACCATGATCAAAGAAACTGGATCCAACTTACATATACTCTTTCTCAAAAAAAAAAAAAAACTTACATATACTGACATACATTAAACTTTTTTTAGTTTAAAACCTAACCCAATTCAAATCAAAAACGAATAAATTGACCTGAAACTAAACTTCTTTCACAAAAAAGAAAAACTGGTCAATAAACTTATGATCGATCTGATCATAGTTGAATAAATCCCGATTTACATATATTTTTTGTAAACGGACACTCCTAAGGAATAAATTCAATCAATATATACAATAGTTAGCCGCTAAGTAAGGCAAAAACCTTTAATCTCCCTTTGACATTCCACCAATCTCTCATCATATATTAATTGCGTTCTAATGGTTTGCCCTCGGAAGTCAGTTACATTTTACATTTACCAAGGGAAGCTTATGTTAGATTCAAGATACTCTTAAGTTTCTAAATTTATATTTTTAGAGTCTAGAATCCTATAAACACCATTAACAAACATGCAAATTAATCACAATGGTCATTTTCTTTGCGGATTTAGTAATGAGCTAGTGAATGGTCGACTCAAATGTTAATACTATGTTTTCAGTATTTCGATCTACCGAAATGCTAAAGGCAGATCTGTCCCCAACCTTTCGATAACTATAAATCTCTAGAATATGATACTTTTTTTTTTGGTATCATCTACATATGTTAATAAACTATAACTTTTTGATTGTCATGGGATACTTATCAGTTGTCACCACCCATTATACATATTCACACATGCCATCCATTCAAAGTGCACACGCCAAAATCTCAAAGAGATCACTTCCTATAAATTATTTACAGAAATATTCAGAAGGTATTATGTAATCAAATTAATACGGCGCTAAAATGCTAGTTTATCACCAAACCATATCTACTGTTGGGGTCTTAGGATAAACGAGCAATACATGGACGGTAGCATTTTAGCATGTGACTCTAGACGCGACACCGATTGTAATTGTCCTTCATTAACTCTCTGCGCCAACATGAACCAGGGAAAATGATGATCTACAACAACAATTATCTAGGTTAAACAACAGCCTATGACAATGATTACCTACGCCAACGATCCTATTCTCTAATAAAGAGAAACTTGACTCAATAAATTTGTGTTTGTTGAAACTACAAGGCCGAATTAGTTTAATTCCAGAATTAGAATCAAAAATACAAACTCGCTGATACACTTTCTCGAACTCGATGACGTAAGTAAGAAAATTGAGTTTGTAGAATTAGGGAGATAGAAAGAAAAATGCAGAATAAGTAGAAGATGTACACAAGAGATTGTTTATCCAGTGGTTCACCTAGAATGGTTTATGTCCACTAAAGTCTGGCAAGAAGGCAATTCCCTATAATCTTAAGTACAAAGATCTAGCACATCTCTCTCTCTCTCAACCAAAGCTTACAAACCAAGCCCGGTCTTTACTTGTGTTATTTTGTGTTAAGGAGAAGAGAACACACAAGCTCCTTTTATATAATAGAGTCGATTAGGTTAACGTAGTTGGATTAGGGTATTCGTCCCTTTCCATAGTCCTCTTAGGAAATATTCCAAAATACTTTCAACTTTCATATCTCCATAAAGTAATATTTCCAGGATCCTGTCGACTTCCATATCTCCATAAAAGTGACATTTCTTTTTCCTAACATGACATCTTTGTTTTGGTTTAAGTTACTCAATCTTATTTGATTTCCATCACCAAATCCTGACGAAGTCTCTGACGGATTCTCTGACGTAGCCACTGATGAATCCCAACAAACTCCACCTTGATGATAATCAAACATGATCCACTACTTAGGATAATCAACTCGTGCTTTCACTACAAGAAAACAAAGCATTTACTAGGAAATTTTACTAGGAAAATTCTTCCTCGTAAATTTACTAAGCCTTTACTAGGATCTTACGAGGAAAGCAAATTTCCTCGTAAGCTCCTCGAAAACTTACGAGGAAATACTTTCCTCGTAAGACCTTAGTAAATTTACGAGGAGCTTACGAGGAAAAAGTACTTTTCCT